AAGTTAAACAGGGGACCATYCCTTATCAGATTCATGTTGAAGTTGATTAGTTTTATTTCYATTTATATAGTTAGAACATGCATGGGATTCAAAATATGCTTTCAATGCAAACTTTTTTTTGCAATTCCACTCTAGGGCCTTATCCTCTTAATTAATGGATTGTAAGTCCCCAGTTCAGTTTCTGCTACTACAATCACTCTCCTTGTTGGCCTTCCCCTATCTCTTTTAAATTCATTCACTTGAATTGTGATATGTTTATCTTCTATGAATTGGTTCCTTTTCTATATTTCTAGCCTTTCAAATAAAAAAGATACACTTACAATTGAGTGTATCCTTAGGAGCCCAGTATGTAACAACCTCAATAAAATTTAACAGTGTTCAATATAAAAATATAGCATTCTCTTTCTTTTATTATGTACTTAAATTCATTCATGCCCCAAGGTATCATTCTCTGTGATGCTCCTCCCTGGCACAAAATCACCATTCTCCCTTGAMATAACTCTGTCAAAATATATACATAAGCAAAACCCAATATATATATATATATATGTATGTATATATATATCCAACATTCTGAAGAAATTTGTAGTTTTGTACATGCATTTACAGAGACTAGCAGGTCTAACTTCCCCAAAAAAGTTTCTAGCTTATTATCATCATCCTCAAGAATGGCCATAATTATCATCAGCACCTCATGGTGCTATACCAAACAACTTAACAAGCAATTCATGGACTTTCAAGGGAAATGAATGTAGTAGCAGCTCACACGAGATTCCTCATGATTTAGGCATTAGACAATTCTCACAGTCTGTCGACGGTCAGTTCTCCGGTGAGCTTGAATTTTCTCAGCAAGGAAGCAGGCAATACATGGAACTTCGGAGCTCAAGGGCATATGATTCTTCTAATAATCAGATGCACTGGTCTCTTTAAATGGATTCACTTAGAGCTTAATAGGTTTATGCTATGCATTTGCCTTTTTTCCCGAGTTTTGCTTGGACCTCTTTTTTGAGTTTCAATTCCTGGCTTTTGACCTTGAAAATAAGTTCTGGTTTTGCTCAGTTTTAAGTTGCAGTTCTACT